AAAAAAAAAAAAAAAAGAAAAAAACAAAGAGGCTTTTCAGGGTCCCGGGAGGATGATCAGCAGCCCCACTTCAGCCAGGCGTCACCAGCTCGCCTGTGGTCCCTGGCCAGGGTTTTCTCTTCCTCATCTGAGGGCTCTTTCTCACCTTCTCAGGATCCCTCTGTGACCCAGCTGACCAATGCCCCGCAGGGCGGCCTGGCGGAATTCAACCCATTCTCAGAGGTTGGTGAGCATGCCCTCTTTCTGAGTCCCGTGGCCCTCCAGGGTGGTGCTGGGGCCTTTGGGGCAGGGAGCCTTGGCAAGGACAGAAGGAGCTCTGAGAAGCAGCAGTCCTCAAAGGGACAGTCCTAACATGAACCAGGGAGGGGGGGTAAGGATGGGAAAGCCACCAGGTGCTCTGTGAAGTTCTCCCCTTGGGATCCATGACCGGGCCCCTCCCCAAGGAGGTCAGGGCAGTGCCTGAGGGCACTGGACCCAGCAAGGCCAGGGGTGCTGGGTTGGGGATCAGATGGCCTGAACCTGAGGCGTGCTGGCTAGGAAGCCACAGGGGAAGGCCCAGTGCAGGCCTCGCAGGCAGGCACATCACTCGTCCTACTGTGGGTTTGCCCCTCAGTCACCAACTAGTGGAGTCCCACTCACTTCCGTCCTTTGATCTGTTCCATGTAGACAAATGCAGCGACAACAGTTCCTGTCACACAACTCCCTGGGTCTTCGCAGCCAGCGGTTCTCCAGCCCTCCGTGGAACCCACCCAGCCGACCCCCCAGGTACTGCTGACAAAGAACTCTTTACCTTTTCCCTCCCGTGAGGGAAATACCCAGACCAGTAGCTGAGACTTGAGGCAGGGGGCAAGCTGCCAGCCTCCAGCCTCAGCCCCCCAAAGGCCCTCTCACTAACTTCTTTGGATCTGGTCGCCTACAAGTAGAGGGGCTGCTCTGCCAATCATCATCCTCACTCCCCCATCCTACCCACCACCACCACAGAGAAATAAGCTCTGCTCACCGGACGGGCTCCTTGCTGCCTCCAGAGAGAGCATTTGTCCCTGTTGTGTTCCTCCAGGTCCTCCTCGGGCCTTTGGCTTGTTCCCTCTTCCTTGGGGCCCAGAATCTCTTTTTTTTTTTTTTTTTTTGAGACAGAGTCTCGCTCTGTCACCCAGGCTGGAATGCAGTGGCGTGATCTTGGCTCACTGTAACCTATGCCTTCAGGGTTCAAGCGATTCTCCTGCCTCAGCCTCCCAAGGAACTGGGACTACAGGCTCCCGCCACCATGCCTGGCTTATTTTTGTGTTTTCAGTAGAGACAGGATTTCACTGTATTGGCCAGGCTGTTCTCGAACTCCTGACCTTATGATCTGCCCACCCCGGCTTCCCAAAGTGCTGGGATTATAGGTGTGAGCCACCCCACCTGGCCTGTGAAACCTCATCTCTACTAAAAATACAAAAATTAGCTGGTGGGCATAGTGGCAGGTGCCTGTAATCCCACCTACTCGGGAGGCTGAGGCACGAGAAGAGCTGAAGCCCAGAAGGCAGAGGTTGTAGTGAGCTGAGATTGTGTCACTGAGCTCCAGCCTGTGCCACAAAGTGAGACTCCATCTTAAAAACAAANCCTCCTGGGTTCAGGCAATTCTCCTGCCTCAGCCTCCTGAGTAGCTGGGATTACAGGCACGCGCCACCATGCCCAGCTAATGTTTTGTATTTTTAGTAGAGACGGGGTTTCACCATGTTGACCAGGATGGTCTCGATCTCTTGACCTCGTGATCCACCCGCCTCGGCCTCCCAAAGTGCTGGGATTACAGGCTTGAGCCACCGCGCCCGGCCGAATCTCTTTTTTTTTTAACTTAATTCTCACCTTCCTTCCTGTCTTCCTTTGTCCCTTCACTAAATACTGTGAATCTTGCCTGCTTTGTGCCTGGCGCTCCACTGCGCTGCCTCGCTGCCCCCATGAGTGTGACCCACGGTGAAGTCGTGTGTCGCAGCTCCTGCTCAGACAGGCCAGCAAGGTCCTGCCTGCCTGATTCCTGGCAGCGGGCAAGCTCTCAGACAGGCAGATACTCCTAGGAGGAGATAGTATTCTCAGAGACAGCTACATGCAAAGCCTTCCGAAGGTAGGCCTAGTTGTGGATGAGCAGGAGGAAGGGCAGGGTGCCTGGAGCCTGCCCTGTGTCCCTCCCAGGCCCCAGAGCCCTGTGGAAGTGAGGCAGGCCTTAGGTGCAGGGTGCCTTTCTGTGCAGCTGGGTGGTGGGCCGTAGGGAGCTGAGTCCTTCTCGACTGTGTCACAGACTTGGGGGAGGTTAAGACCCCCAGCATGGCACAGGGGGTAGGTTCTGCTCCTGCTTCTGCCCCCAGTGCCTGAAACTCACCTCCCAGAGGCAGCCTTAGGTCTTTGGAGAGCTTCTGGAGAGGTCGATGTGTGTTTGTGTACACGTGCGCCTGGTTTGTCATCCTGGGAGATGCCCAGTTTGAGATCTCTCCCTAAAAAGGACTGTGGTCTCATCCTTCAGGAGGAATCTGACCCAAACGCAGCAGCCGCCAGCAGGCGTAGGGCCCCGGGGCCACGTCTGTTCAGCCTCATGTACAGTCAGTCCCTTGCCGTCACTCAGAGGCTCTGCTCTGCCTGGAGAGGAGATAAGCACGGACTCTGCCTGCCACTAAGCCAGGCAGGGCAGGACCACACCTAAGGGGCTGTCCTGGGGCATCACCAGTCTCAGTTTAGGGGGACCTCAGAGGGCAGCTTCCGGGGGCAGGCCAGGGGGCAGGGTGCTTGCACAGATCCTGAAACTTAGGTACACACCGTGTGCCCTCACGTGTCTCCCCTTTCCACTCACGGCTAGCAGGCCTGCACCGTTTTCCTTCTCTCTCACACACCCAGCTCTTCAAATGAGACTTGGGTCTGTGGGTTTCTTGTTGCAGTTTAGTTTCTCGTGAGGTCTTTTTCCCAGAGGTCACAATCGCTGAGCTCTGCCTCGACTCCGATATCAGGGAGAAGCAGAGAAGCCACTGGGGATAAGTTTCCCAGCTCAAGCTTAGGGATGAAGGGAGAGGGGAGCCTAGCCATGGCCGAGGGGCCAGGAAGGCGGGGCAGCGGAAGACAGGTTGGCCTCTCTGTGGGGGTCTCTGGTACCTAAGACACTGTGGGGCGGGGATTGCTTCTGGGACTCCCTGCTGGCTGTCCCTGCCCGGGGCAAGGCCTCTCTGCCTGCCCACCCAGGCTGACAATGTTTGTTTCTTGTGTCTGGCTGTTCCTGTACCTCCCCCGTTCTCTCCAGGCCGTGGTGTCTGCAGCCCAGGCAGGCCTGCTCCGGCAGCAGGAAGAACTGGACAAGAAAGCTGCGGAGCTAGAACGCAAGGAGCGAGAGCTGCAGAACACCGTGGCCAACTTGCACGGTAAGGGAGGCTGCCGGGGCCTGGGACTGCCTGCCTGGCGCAGAGAGCGTCCTGAGCCCTGTTCGGAGGGCGGCCAGCATTCACCCTGAGCTGCCTTCTTCCTGGGCTGCCGCAGAGCTTTGTGGGGCTCTTCTCATGGCAGGATGCTGGTCCTGGGGAAAGCAGTAAGTTGCAAGTCAGAAGAACTACAGTGTGGTTGTCGTGGCTGTCAGTTACTTCTGCACTCCTTCCTAGCTCTAAAATTCCTTGATTCTTTGATAATAGAGGGGCATTGGTCCCACAATTCCTTGCTAATGGTGATGAACTGAGGTATCACACTTTCAGGCTGCTTGTTAATAAAAATAATCATTTAGGGCCGGGCGTGGTGGCTCACACCTGTAATCCAAGCACTTTGGAGGCCAAGGCGGGCGGATCACCTGAGGTCAGGAGTTCAAGACTGACCAACATGGTGAAAACCCGTCTTAAAAAATATATAAAAATAATAATAATTATTATTATTTAGGCCATTTAGCTCTCTGTATTTCCCAGTGTATTTGGGGTCCATTGTCTCAGTGTGAGCTTGCTGGTGTCTCTTTGGGTTCCGTTATCCTGTTCTGTCCCATTCCATGCTCCATGCAGACTCCAAGCCCTGCTTGCGGGAGCCCCCCTGGGAACCCGGGTTTGACCCATATGCTGTGCTGGCGTGCACATACCTCGATGCCCCTTCTGAGGCTGGGCCCTCACCTCGTCACTGCTTTTCTCCCACACAGTGAGAGAGAACAACTGGCCACCCCTGCCCTTGTGGTGCCCTGTGAAGCCCTGCTTCTATCAGGATTTCTCCACAGAGATCCCTGCCGACTACCAGCGGATATGCAAGATGCTGTACTATCTGTGGATGTGTGAGTCCCACTCCCGCCCTCCAAGCGCAAGGGTGAATTGGGTATGACTTGAGAGCCCCATCTTTGGCCTGGCTGCTCCTCCCTGGTCTACTGGCTTTCAGCAGACTCCAGCCTTCCTCCGTGCCTGGGCTCGGTTGGGGAGATGCCTCTGCCCAAAGGCTGCTCCCTGTCTGGAAACCTCCTTGAAAGGGGCAGTCCAGACCACAGATGCCAGGGTGGGACTAACTAGAGGCTTCCAAGTTCCTTCAGAGCTCACTGCACCAAAAAGCCCTCCTTAGGTGAGGGCCTCCCCTGCCCACAGGCCTGTGGACTGTGGCAGGTGAGGAAGAAGACTCTCCCTGCAGCTCCATTGGGGGCCATCCAGGGTCAGGGAAAAGCATTGCTGAGAGAAAGACTTCCTTCCCCAAGGACCAGGCTCTGCATCCTCCTTCCACTCCCTCCCCTCAGATACCCGAGCTGCCCATCACCTCTCAGAAACCTACTCTGATCCCTGGTTTTGAAGTCCCATAAAACCAGGATTTGGGAGCTGTCCCCGCCTGGGTACACAGCGGGCTCCTCTGTCTCTGCAGCTGCATTTGCAGCATGAACCTCAGCTCTCCAAGGGAGTGGCCGCCACAGTGGAGCCCTTCAGCGACTGTGGCACAAGTCATAACTCTGTCCTGTCCCCTTCCCCAGTGCATTCAGTGACTCTGTTTCTGAACCTGCTTGCCTGCCTGGCCTGGTTCTCAAGCAACAGCTCCAAGGGAGTGGACTTTGGCCTCTCAATCCTGTGGTTTCTGATCTTCACTCCCTGTGCCTTCCTTTGTTGGTACCGACCCATCTACAAGGCCTTTAGGTGAGTGAGGCTGGGGCAAGGGGTGAAACTTTATGGCTTGCATCCAAGGTAGCAGGCTAAGGGCTATAGGCCCTGGGACTCTATCCAAGTCTTAGAGCAAAATAGAACGGTAGGGAAATCCATTTTCCCGTTCCCACCCAGAGTGGAGATCGGGGGCCCTGTTCCTCAGTTTTTGTACCTGAGGTCTGCTCTGGGCCCTGTCCTTGGACCAGGCACAGGAGACCTAGAGAAGGGACCATCCATCCTACTGGTCCCAGTCTGGCTGATGCCATTACTGGGAAGAGGGAGGGGACACTCTTTGGGGAGCGCCCTTCTGAGGCTCTGGGTGTGCTTCTCTGGTAGTGTCAGATGAGTGCTCTCCAGGGCTCTCTCTCCATGACTGCTGATGCTCCCCAATAACTCACTGAGTGTCAACACCTAAGCTAGATACTGGGAACATGAATGGATACATCTTACAGACCCCCGTGGGTTCTGGATTTGTGCCTCAGGGTTGGTACTTTCAGGGCTGGGAGGCCAGCAGGCCCTAGGAAGGAAGGGGTGAGATAGCAGCAGAACCACCTCTGTACCACGGGAGCCCTCACTGCGATCTCGCCCTCAAGGACACAGAGATGGAGGTGCTCAGCTCTTGAGAGAGTTTTGTCTGGTGTCCCCTATTGCCCAAATGTTTTTTCTTCCACTCAGATGTATACGTTTTGTTTTGTTTTCATTGTTTTTTGTTACCAATATCCTCAAGTTCTATTGTTTTTGTTTGTTTGTTTTATTTTGAGAGGGAGTCTCGCTCTGTTGCCCAGGCTGGAGTGCAATGACACGATCTCAGTTCACTGCAACCTCCTCCTCCTGGGTTCAAATGGTTCTCCTGCTTCAGCCTCCTGTGTAGCTGGGCTTACAGGCATGTGTGACCACACCTGGCTAATTTTCGCATTTTTAGTAGAGACAGGGTTTCACCATGTTGGCCAGGCTGGTCTTGAACTCCTGCCCTCAAGTGATCCACCTGCCTCAGCTTTCCAAAGTGCTAGGATTACAGGTGTGAGCCACTGTGCCTGGCCTGTTTTGTTTTTTTTAAGACAGAATTGTACTCTGTCACCCAGGCTGGAGTGCAGTGGCACAGTCTCAGCTCACTGCAACCTCCACCTCCCAGGTTCAAGTGAGTCTCCTGTCTCAGCCTCCCAAGTAGCTGGGATTA